ATTAAAAACATCAAAGACAGAAATACCACAAAGGTGCAAAAACAAAACTGAAGTGCCTGCAACTGCACCTGTAAAATGCTAAAAATGTCTTGGCCGCTATTCCATGCCCTCCATTTGGATTGTTCTTCTGGAGAGAAATGTTTTCCAAAGGAATCTTCTGATAGAACGAATATTTTTTAACAACGTTACGTGAATGACCGTGGCAACGCTTCTATCCTTTTTCCATTGTGAGCCGCAAGTGCGTTTATGGTGTTTGCGTAAAAATTGCTTATCGAATTACAATACACAGGAAATGAGGCAAGTGAGAGTTTGTCGCTGTTGTTAGTAGCACCTTCCCTCGAATACAGTAATCCTGTCATACGGGTTGAAGAATTCGTGAGGAAAGTGGACGGAGTCTGACCAACACCGTTCACGTCAAGGTCTGCCACCAATTGGCGTTTCCATTTGTTACGCCGGTTCTGAAACCAAATCTTCACCTGCGTTTCGGTGAGTCTCAGGCTGTGAGCTAGGTTTGCCCGCTCGGCGCTGGACAGGTAGCGTTTCACGTCGAACATGGTTTCCAGCTGGAAAACTTGATTGCGGCTAAACACTGTCCTGGTTTTCTTCTTCCTTCGTTGCGCGAGGGCATAGTCACAATTGCTTTTCCGTACTTCCCCTTGGACTTCCTCTTCTGCGCCTTCTGAACAGTAGGAACCACCCTCAACGGGCGAAGACTTGTGTTCGACAGACTCGAATAACGGAGTCGGATTATTGGTGCCGCTGCACTTAACTTCTTTTTCTGTAGGTGATGACGTCACCAGCTGTATGCCGCTGTTCAAAGTCTTTTGGGTCCAATCCGCTAATGCCTGGAATTGTATTTGTTCTGTCACCGAATAGTCTAAAAGATGAAAAAGCTGCTATTTTAAGTTTTATTTAATTGCCAGTAGGAGCCAACTATTTTTGAACACGGTACAAAGAGCAACATTTTGTTATTATTTTATTATACAATTTGTTTTGCTCGCCACGCCAAAACATTGTACCCAACAGAAAAATTACACTATTTTTGAATACAATGGAAAACAGACGATACATTCACCTTTCTGCTGTTCAGGAGTTAATAGACTCCAAAGAAGCTGATGCAAATTAAGCAACTTGATATATTATTGCTCCCTTAAGAAGAATCATGAACCAAATGCTTGCTTTCTGTTTGAAAGAGTAAAAACGCTTTTATCTCCAAAAATCAAATAATCTTCTACTGTCTTCTAGGAAAAGAAGCAAATGGTACCCAGAAAGCTCTGAGTTTACACAGGAAAGTTTAAGATAAAAATGTGATGTCGGAGTGAAACAGACTGGCAAGATAAGGGATTATTAGTGAGTGTTTTCTGACACCCTGATGTTTGGTCATTTTATTAGTTTCCATTTAACCGTTAGCATTTTTGAGGACTCATGATCTGCATTTCACAAGCAGCATTAGAATTGCTGAAGAACAACAGTAGGAAGCAGTCTGGAATGCTTTGGTCTCTGTATTTTTCGTCATATATATTTTCATTATATATCATACTGTTCATCATTATATTCATCATTATATATCATACATTAAAGGCTTTCTTTGCATGATGTCATTGAATCTGTGCTTGGATATGCAGAACAATATTGCCATTGTTAGTTTTATATTCTGCAAGCCGTAGAGATTCATTTTCATGGCCAAGTAACATAGGTGATTGCATTTAATTGCTTGAAATGCCAATAGAGAGAGGGTGTTCTTACTGTACCTGTATCTTCTCCTTGCCTGTTCGTGAAATTGTTTTTTTTTTATTGTTCATCAGCTTATTAACTGAGAGAATCTCACATTCTTCTTGAGGCTGGTTTGGATGCAGCCGAACTTTGGGCAACTTACTGGCGTTTATCTAGTATGTGAACTCTTTCGTTCAATTGTTGAAGTGCCTAGGGCATAAAGTGGAGTGAACATGGACCTTAAGTGAGCAGTTGCTGGTTGTTTTTTGCATAACTATACATATAATGATGATGTGCTGCCTGAAAGGCAATGGAACTGGTAACTTTTATGGAGCATTATAACAGAAATTGATTTGATGTTGAAGACTGATATATTTGCAATTTTTGATTACAGTAACTCTTTTGCATCAACTCATAGAGAATTGATTTTTAGAGTCAATCTCTCAGTGTGTGGGATATTATTTTTGATGACTCAGCAGCTTAAGCCTGATCTATGCATAAACGGAGACGGC